CATTTTTGCATGAAATGAATTTCGAAGTCACTTCGTGATTTCCAAAGTTACAACACGTTGCGCCAGTGACCCAATAATTGGTTGAGTGGTCTATTAACTGTAAAAAACAGTCAATTACAAGTCAACACACTTGTTCCTAAGTCGAACTTCCTTCAAGATAGATGAAAAGGTTCCCGTATGACCAGCGTAGTTGCTCTCGAACTGCTCATACGTTTGATACTTCATAAACTCACGCCCCAAAACTAAACGCTCTGCATAGCGCCTACGATTACCTTTAATCATTTCCTTCGGGTAGTCTTTCAGTGCGCGAAAGTCGCCATCGCTTGGGTTTGCATAGAACCACTGGTCCCAGGCTTCCTTGGCTGAGTGAGTAGTTGGTACAATATTCGGACGAACAATGTCAGCGATTGACGTTTGACGCATTGTTGTACAGCCGCAATGGGGACAGGCTTTGAAGCAGTTTGTTCTTGACGCAGGCGGCTCACACACGGGTTTGCAATTCGATTGATGTTAGCGTCACTCAATACATTTGGCTGTGCACTTGACATTACGGCACCTCCAAACGGTACGTCTTGAGTCTCGAGAAGGAAGCGAGGATTTTATTATTACCCGAATTTTTGTGAAAAGGTACTCACAGCAAGTCTTGGCATCTCGCCAACGGCACCAAGCCTTGAGTTCTTGGAAATAGTAGCACCGTTGATGTGAACCAAAGCCTCTACACTTGCTGCTACCACGACGCGTTGCTGTGCAATGACACTCCTTGCGTGATGCTTGGGGCTCGGTCGACAATTTCTGCGAGTGTTCGCCCAGGTGACTTTACTCCAGTCCCTTGCTCCAGTCGACAGTAAGCATGCCTCTTTGCAGCATATTGTACGGGAAAAGACAAAGGCATTTGCTTGGACTTGCATGCGGCACTCATCACGGCGACGCATATACACGACAAACAGCGAGCACACATGCAGACAAGGGTAAGCATCTTCGTTCACCTAGTGGTAGATTTGGCAGTCGTCTTCAACACTTGCTTTCTTGTGCCAACGCAACCTGATGGACACGTACTCACCACGTTGATTACGATTCAGCTCAACATCTTTCCACTTCAGGTTCAGCATCTCATTGATGCAAAAACAGCCGATGAAGCGTGCGGAGAACAAGAAACGGAGTATGGATCGAACGAACGGCTTGAGTTGATCAAATGAGTTCATGATATGCAGAGTTCGTGCACGGTAACAAGGTGCGCCATCTTTTCGTCATTCAAATTGTTCTGTTTGACGTATTTGTGAAAGCCAACGACGAACTCTCGGGACTTGGCGACCTGAGCCATATTTGGCTCAACGCCTGCTTCCTTGAAGTATGCCATCAACGCGCCTTCGCCAAGTCAACTGACTTTGTGCGGCGACCTTGCGTTACAATGAAGTAGAAAAACGCAGTGCAGTCCGAAGTTGTCGCAGCGGTAGGGTCAATGACATCCTCGCGGTCGCGGCAAACGTTGAAAAATTGCTTCTAGTAAGTGGCGTTCACTTTTCGTGTTCGTATTGACCGGTAAGAATCTTCAATCACTTCATTCGAAGGCATTTGCATATTCACCGGACGATCGATGTCATCCAGCCATTACTGTTCAAGCACTTTGCGAAAATGCCGTTGATGACCAACCTTTGTGCCAGGTACGCTCATATTCAAAAACTATTTATATGCTCTTTATGTACCGACGTAAAATTGCAGCCGTGCGAGCGACCGGGTGGCCGATTCAATCAGTGAAATGGCTGGTTCAGTGACAAGCGCAGGTTGTACGGGTTGAAGATTGAGGCGTCCGTGCCACCGCAAGGATTCTTCGTCGACATGAGTGAAGCCCATCCTGGTGCAGCGTCGGACCTTACCATCATGCGATCCCGTTTGCACGTTCACCAAAGTGCACATGACTGAAATCAAAGTGTATCATGAGATGATGGGAAAAAGTAACGTACGAACCAAGAATATATTTATCACCACAACTCCCCTTGTGCTTACATGAAACGGAATAGGAAACGCAAGGATATTTAGAAAAATATATACAGTGGCGGGCAGGAACCACGGGTCGTTTACTCATACACAAGGATGGAGCAGGATCTTGTGGACATAGGATACGTCAATTGATACAGCTCGTTGAGCTGAAACGAATTCCTGCTAAACGTAATATTCTTTAATAATCCTGCTTCAAACTTTTGAATGACTGCCAATTTGACACCTTTGTACTGATAACCTGCATCTTGCCATCGAGAACGATGTACAAAATCATAAATTTGTATGCGTTCACGAGTTTACGTACCTTCTTGATATTTCATCGAATTTTTACATCATTCCACAACATGGTCCGTCTACCGCCAACTATTGCCACGCCGGGTTCGACCAGATCTGTGGGTTCGTCAAACAGAGTCGCCCACTTAGCCTAGCTAAAGAAGAACATCTCATCATTTTGCGTCTTCACACTCACTTTCGACATGATTGATCGCAAGTAGGATGCATTTGGCATATTGCAATTATTCTCGACTGGTGGGCAAACTGTGAGAGAAGTATGGTTCATATATAACGCTAAAGCTGTAGTCGCTGAGGCTATTCCACCCTCAAACAAAACTATCGCATTCCAATCACATTCCTTCGACAAAAAAGTTATCTAACTCGTCCAGTCCTTTGTTCGGGGACACCGCTTGACAAGGACTCGGACAGTTGCAACAATATGTTGCGCTGGCCGTGGCCGAATCGCAAACATTCTGTTGTATGTAAGCACGCTACCGTACCATTCCGTCCTGCGACCAATCGAATTGATTTGGGCAATTGTGAAAACTGTGAAAGGTAACGTTGGTCGTTAACAAAAAGATGATTTAGATAAATTAACTGCATATGAATGTGGTTTTAATCCTTATGATGATGCTAGAAAAGTTTTTGAGGAATGAGGTACGTAAGTACCTCATTCCACGTGGTACTGGAGTGGTTGAAGATTGCCTCAAAAGGCCTCGCATCTACAACCACCTATGAGTTCGTGAGGTATTTTTATTCCAAATCGTCACAGTGAACCCCGGATAAAGCCGACATGTTTTATCCCGCATTGCATGGAGGCAGGACAGAACCATAATTCCTAAATTCGCCTTAGTCCGACTTGATTGGCTAAAATCAGGAGAATTTTTGTCCGTCAATCACAGTTGGCAACTACACTTGCAATAGGTAAAAACGAATGGCATTTCACAGGTGGTATAAATATATACATATGGTAGGATTTTTTAAAAACAGATCATGTTATGGAGGTGGTCAGCTTTTTTGGTGGTGTCAGCATTTTCCAGGGCTCACTGTACCGCAGCATGAATGACTAAATATCGCATGTGCCGGAGGACGCCGCATACCTAGCACGATGGACATACTGTACAGTGGGCATTAAAAGTCTTCATACCCCTAGTAATATTTTTGTTCACCATTCAACGCGGGTACGATAATAACTTCCTCAACAAGGCGTAAAGCTAAACGTGTGCTCGATCAATGTTATGCAGATTGAACAAGATCGGATGAATTGTGTGCACAAAAACCTTCATGGCAAAACATTCGATACAAAAACAATCCAATAGTCTTCTTACTTATGGACTTTCCTTGTCATTGAAGTGCAGGGTCGATTGACCTCGCTAAATATTCACAACACTTATCAACTTGCTCAGCATCGCCTACCTTTGCATACCGTTCAACATTGAATGTCCATCAACTATAGTATCCACGTGTGAGCTAGGAGCTCTCCCAAGAACTCCGGTCCCTGGTGATTTCAAAGCACCTTGAAGGGTTTGGATATGGCAATATTGGCGCATGATTAAGTATATCTAAGTGGACTGTCCAAAGCGTTGTTAAGTCCTACAATGCACTCAACCAAACAACCACTTTTCCACGTTCTGGGCGTTCTACTGCAACTACACCCCATGAGGACCGCATTTTTTCGAGGGAAGTTAAGACAAACCGTAGGCTTAGTGCCGAATCGTTGAAGGATACTTTCACAGTGTTTTATGACAAGGACATCTCGATGTCCACAATCCGTCGACATATTAAGGCAGTTGGCCTACGTGGTCGCGCAGCCAGACACAAGCGGTTCATCCCGAAGGCCAACAAGTTGAAGAGACTTTCGTACGCCCGGAAACACCAACTTCGTTGCATTGAAGACTGGAAGAAGCTCCTCTGGACGGACGAGAGTCCCTTCAAATTGTCGGGATCGAACGGACCTTCGTATGGCGTCGAGCTGGAGAAGATTTTTCTGACGGATGCCTTGCTCCGACATTCAGAGCGGCCGTCAAATTATTATGGTTAGGGGTGCTTATGGCTACAACGGTACTGGAACGGTTGTTTTATGTGATGGAAAAATGAAGTCTACGGACTATCTGGCCATGAACGAGGTGAAATTGCCTGATAACTTTCTAAAATTCGCTCTTCCTATGGACTTTGAGTTTATGCAAGACAACGCACCGATTCACAAGACGTAGATTGTGCTTGGTTTTTGTTTGATGAGAACGCATCATACATGCTTAGTCATCCCCGCAGAGTCCCGACTTGAACCCCATTGAACATGTGTGGGAGTAATTAAAGCGTAGAGTACGCCAAAATCCTCCATCATCGCTGGAGCAATTGAAACGTCAATTGATGGCAATTTGGGATAACATCCCAGTTGCATTCATCCAGAAATTGATCGAATCAATGCCTAAACGGCTCAGCAAGGTCATTGTCAACAAGGGTGGTGCTACGAAGTACACCGCCCACTAGGATTCAGATATATGAAAATAATCGACATTCAAAACTCAAACTAACACGTAGCTTAAGCACAAGCATAAAATGTGCACTCAAAATACAAAATATAGTTGTGGGTACGAAGATTTTTGACACCTACTGTACATGAGTATAGATCGAAAGTCGCTGGGACATACCGCTCGGCTGCTGTCGCGCTTGGTGTGGCGTCGTGGACGGCAGGTGCGACTGGTGGTTGCTGGGGGTCGCTGAAATTCAGGAATGGAGAGGACTAATACCCACCTGTGGCTAACTTCCAAGGTTTTTAAGCGCATGAGACTCTTAGACAATCATGCCGCGGTGGACGATTTGGAATAAAAGAATACAGTCCGCGAAATAAATATATGCGCACATTCAAATCTTCAGTATATCGCGAATAATATCGGATAAAAAATACACAAAGACTTCGGAGATTGTTTCCCATGAAGGGTATACCTCCAACTCAAATTGCTGCAGTACCATACATACGTTGAGCTTGAATTTGCCAACATATAGGAGTATGGTAGAATTGACCCAGTCTGAGGCATCGGAAATATTTATATGCGCACTGCGTTTTAAATTTTCTAATGTCAAAAGACGCATTCAAAATGGAAACAAATTGGTGCGGGGATTTGGCCAATGAATAGGCGACGTTGTGGCGCGAATCATGACAAAGTTGGTCAACTGCGTATCATGCCAAGGGGTCCCAAGTGTACCTCATGAACGTTCAACTTGGACGTTCGTGATAAATATATCCACACTCGTTGGACGAGCTTGACATACACTAACTATGGAACGGATGTGAAACCTCACTTAACACAGTAATGTTGAAGAGGTTTCACATCCATTATTTTCCAAGATGACCGATGCATCCGGTGGCTTCAACGTCACAGGAGACAATCGAAGAGCCATTCCGCGGGCTGTCAATGGAATGCGCAAGAAACAATTTCAGTTCTTTCTAAAAACACGCAGAGGAGGTATGACGTTCGAAACCAAATTTAGTTGATCTTCGAGATCCCACATAAACAATATTCCCTCTGTCCCACAAGAATTGCGCGAG